CTTGGTTCATGTGCAAAAACTTGTAGTACAAGTCAATACCCTCTTTTAAAGACCTCCTGAACATGTTGATAAAATCTAAAAAAATCCAAAATCCAGACTAAATCAAAGTACAGCCAAAACGTCCTCAAACATTCCCCTTTCAACAGCATTCCCCTTTAAAATCCAGCTAATAAAATCGCTCGTCGGACGATATAAAATAAAAACTCTATGGAATGAGTCTCATAGACAAAATCGATATGCATTTCGCATAAAAACTGCAATTCATTTGGGAAGAAAAAAAATAATAATAAAATTGAAAAAAAGCAAGGGTGGATGGTTGACTGAGTAAGAAGAAGCAAACGAATAATTTATGATGATGATAATTAATTGCATAATGCGGCAATGCCTTGTTTTTTTTCACATAGTTTTATGTAAATGCTCTACAAGGGCAATTATCTAAAATGGCAAAACATGCAGCAGACAGCATAAGTCGATAGCTAATTACTGCGTCATGCCGATGCTCAAGAAGGAAGAGAGTCAATGGATTCTATTAGAATATTAAAGAATTTACGAATTCTTCTCACGCACATTTGCCAAAAAAATTACTAAAAAGAAGAAATTCCCATCTCCTATTATGCGGATAATAAATGCATGAAGAATAAGAAAGCGCAACGGAATAGAACTAAGCGGCAGTATAAGAATTTCTCATGTGTCACAAAATAATTTTTTTTTCTGTTCATTCTTTACCCTTTTATGGATTGAGTGTGTGTATGGAGTGGATTTTTGGAAGGAAAAATTTTTTTATGGCAAGTAAGAATGTTGGTTTGATTAGGAATGACTTGAGACATTTTATGGAATCCGTTGGCTTTGCTCTTAGACTAGAATAGGTTTTTTGAGGAGGTTCGGACTAAGTTATGATCTTAGATCAGGTTTGCACCAGATTAAGCTCTTAAACAAGACTTTGATCTTAAGTAAGCAATGATCTCATACGAGACTATGCTCTCAGATCATTTGCTAAGTTTAGACCAAGTTTAGACTAGATTATGTTCTTGCTGTAGCAATAAACTAGTCTTAATATCAAATTTCTACAATTCTTCATACTTTTTCAATAAAATCTCCATCCAGCCCGACAAACAGCAACTAAATATCACCAAAAACAAGCCCATACCCCGAAAAATAAAAATATTATAAATTCATTTTTGCGTAATTTATGCAAAATAGGCAACTGTGTGCATATTTTCCGTCAGTTTTGAGACATTTTTTTTATATTTTTCTATTCCAATTAAGTTTTGTTTTTGTTCATTCCGTTGCCTTGCTGAGGACAAGGTTGGATGATAAATTTAAATGCAAATGTGTTTCTTTGTATACACAAGACACCAAAAACCTTAAAAATAAAACAAATATACATTTCACGATTGCGTGTTAAAACTATGCGGCTAAGCTGAAAAGAGAGAAAAACGCACACATTGCATTAATTGGCCATGGGAAAAATATATAATAATAATATGGTGACTTTGGATGGAAGCTTAAGGTAGCAGCAATAAAAAATGATATTTTGTCGATGTCCCTGAGATCATGTGTGACTACATCAATGATATGCATTTTTATACCTCACACAAGTCTGGCCTTTTTTTTTGTTTTAGATGAAGCAATTAGTTATCATGGACAAGGGAAGTAGATAAGCATTAAAACCTGTTTTAATGCCAGCATTAGTCATACAATGAAAAATTATTGTAATGCAACTGAATTGCTATTGTGAATTTTTTTTTTCTATGCCTTAAAAAATGCTGTTAAAAATTAATTTATGCGCCCATAGAGAAACTCTCTTTCTACAGCTACTTATTCACCAAGTTACAAAAAAAAATGAGTACCTTTTGTTAGAAATCTAAAATGAATTTCACGAGTGCATTGAACTATTTTTTATGCATTGATGCATGCATCATAATAAAACATAAAATTTGTTTTATGAATCTATTCATACATCGTGCGAAGAGAGGATTGAATAAGATGGAATGAAATGATTTGCTTTTTCTTGTGCGTGTGTGTGTGTAAGTAACGATGCATACGCACTGGTGAGAAAGTACATTATTTTGAGGTAGGCAAGTAAGATGTTTGGTAAAATTCAATTTAATGAGGTTGAGGATTAGGAGACGCAGTTTGAGTTGTTATATAAATTTTATTGCATGTCTAGTTGAATTGCTGGTTATGTACGTAAGCAATAGATTGTTCAAATGTCAGAACCATGTCCGAGGCTATTGGTACGACCATCGAGATGAATAAATAAGCAAGAGCTGGGATTCTATGTTAAAAAGGGTTCAAAACTATTAAAATGCTTATATATGTCCCTAGTAGCTAGTTCCCAAAATTTGACCCAAACTGACACACCCAACCCACACATAATCTTGAAAATTCAAGCACCAAACCAAAATGCGTTCCTCAAAAAAAAAGTTTCTCTCCAAGAAACGCAAATGCATGAGAAGACAGCAAGAACAAAACCAAAATTACATTTCTATGGTTTGATGAATTTTGATGTGTCATGCCATGCCATCATATCGACCGTCAATCTCCCAGAAAGAAGGCTCAAAAGTCTCTCAAAAAACCCAAATCTGATGTTGATGATTTTCCGTATGCATCTATGCATTAACTGAAAAAAGTATGAGAAGAAGAAGTATTCATCCGTAGCTGTTAATTCACCTCACAAAAGCAGGCGGTTAGAGCATAGAAAGAAGAAAAAAAAAATTATCGATTAAAAATTAATTTCAATTCGTGCACTTATATAAATCCGTACACATTAAGTAAATCTCTTAGTCAGCACCGATTTCTTTTGTGAAAGTGAATCCTATAAATTTATATTTTTTTGTTGGAATTCAATTGCTTCTCGCTAATGCTAATGTGCACTATAGTAATGACGCTTTAATTTTTTTGTTCATCACAAAAAAAGATCTTTTAATTCACTTACTCATTGTTGTAGCTCGCACACACACTTTATGGCTGTATATATGCACGTGAGTGCTTATTAAAATGATTTTCATGTTCAATTTACGCATTTTATTGTTGCACGTTTAGGCATACAAGAAACTGTTATGTACGAAGATTCGTCTTTTATTAGCTTGGTATTTAGATTAAGAGTTCAATTGATGAGATGTTAGGATGTATTTGGGATTTTATGAGCAATAAGTGAAGGAAGTGAGATTTGTTCTATCAAATCTTTAACTTTTGATTTTTTAAATGCATTTTGAATTGAATTCGTCTTTATTTTAACTAAAACTTCGACTCTAACCTCAAAAACCTAACCCCTAAGTCGGTTAATCGAATAGAAATCCAGCGCCCAGCCGGCAAGGTTCTGGCTTTGATTTAAATCCAGCATTATGACATTATGACAATGTTTGGTGCTGGATTTCTGATCGATTAACCAACTTTTGCCATTCGGGTAACCTCAAAGTTTAAACTGGTTCAAACTTCGCCAAAACCTAACCCAACTTTTACAAAACTGAGCTAGATTCACCAAAAAAAAAATATTTTCAATCATCAAAATCTCTAACTACATCCATATTGAAATTACTTCACAAAACACAAATTAATTCCAATTTACATCCACAAAAAAAAAGAAGCAAAAGAGAAAATACCTACAAAAAAAATTTCCCGTTCAATGAATGTGCATTTTATCGGTTCATGCGCATTAAAATGAATTGTAACGCACTTTTGTGCGTTATGGAATTGCTCTCAATTAAAATACTTCTATTTTACGAATGTACAACTATGAACAAAATGAATGCTTTGCTTTCATATTTGCATAAAAACGACTCTTGTGGATGTGTGCGTGAGAAGCAAAATTTACAATACAGTATGGATGACTCTTTTGCGTATACGCATAATCATGTGATTCTCTTTTTTTCAAGAGTTTTTAGTTGATTTTGGATTTAGAAAAATATGGAAATTAAGTTTTGTTTTTGGAAATTTGTGGATTTGGATTTTGTTGAGACAAGAACTTTGCTTGACTATTCTTTGAGGTATAAATTAAAAATTGACTGAAACTAGAGAAGCCTTAGAAAAAGCCTCCCAGCAACTAGAATGTACTGCTCGGGCAGAATTCCTCAAAGAACAATTCATACAATCAATTTCCCAACATCACATAAAATAATTCAATGAATTGGAATACATAATCCATATAAAGCAATACATGCAGTGAATAATTTGCCTTGAAGCTATTCGAGCATTATCAATAAAAATGGCAATAAAGAAAAGAAAAGACAAATTTCTAGCTGAAAAGGAAGACGCGATTGTACGAAATTACATCATTTGCATTTTTTACACTTTCTAATCAATCCGAAGGCGCACAATATAACTGTGCCTGATTTCGCACATGAGACTCTAAAATGATAAATCTAAAGTCATTTAAGAAACATCACTAAGTATGACACAAAACCTTGATCGACTCGAGTAGGAAATTGATGGAATTGATTCATGTAAATTTTATGCAAAAAAGAGAAGAAGAAGAACAGGAAAAAACAGCAAGAAGACTAATTGACTTAAATCACAGAGAATAATCGAGACCGAAACCTGTTCGTGTGCAGAGATTTTAAACTATTTTTTATGTTAATTTATGCGTTAATTTATTCTGTGTTTTAATTTATAAATTGATAATGAAAAAAGAATGTCAAAATTGACATCATCTGTTTTTTTGTGACGGGATATCTGCTGAATGTTAGGCTAGGTTGTTTTAAAGTTGTGGTTTTTCTTGTGAATTTTAAATATTCTTGGATAATCGGAGCTATAAGATTAGGAATGTTGGTCAGATACTTGGAAAATGTTGTGAAATTGATGCTAAGTTCTGTGTTAAAGGTTCGTTTTGCAAGTCTAGGCTAGAATGCCTTTTGTAGCTTCAAAACCTGATCCGCACTCATAGCTTTAAATATTTTAAGAAAGGAAGGACTTGATACGATCAAAAATCCATCAAAATATGAACCTAAAATTAATATTATATCCTTATTAACTAGATTTCCTCTTATTTCTCATTTCAGATTAAAGAAACATAAAGAAAAAATTAAACAAAAATGGATCAACAACAGCAATATTGCTTGAAATGGAGCAATTATTCATCAAATCTGGCAACAGCATTTTCAAATTTATTCAACTCAGAGACCCTGACCGACGTGACATTGTTCTGCGAGGGTGAGTAGAATAGCTATATGTGCCTCAAAGCACTAATAATAATATTCATAATCAAGAATAATGGAGCAAAAGATCAGAAAATCAAAATAGGCAGCACAACCAAAAAATATAATAAACCCATTAAAATCCATTTAAGCATCGCCATTGAGATTTCATAAATCAATTAATTAAATGGCAAAAAATAAAATGTGCTTAGTTCTATAGCTGAATCTAACACATATACCACTTGATAATTAAGATCCGTAAAAAGCAAACAGTGATATTTCTTAATTACTCCTTATGCCTTTACTTACATGCATAATATACGATGGAAAAAGACATGAATGGATATACGTTTAAGTGGTACGAAAGCTCTTACAATACATGTGTATTGTATGATAAAACATCTTCTTAATCCTTATTTGTTCGACAGAGGACTCACATAATTGAGAGCATTTTTAGAGTGCTGTGAAATTGGGTAATGTAAGAAAACGTTTTGGGTGACTTGATAGGTAGATGTTGGGGTTGTAAGTCTAAATGTATCGCGACTGCATTGTGAATTCCAACATTCATTGAAAATTATTGATTTTTGTATAGCTTGGGACATTGAAATTTGATTTTATTTCAATATTGAATATTCAAAAACCCTTAAAGTTGTCATTTATTATTATTGATTCCTTTAAGACTCAAATGCGTTCCCAAACATTTCTCCACTCATCCAATCCATTGCCAACTTATAATATACAAAAGAATATTGTCAAAAGAAAAGTTCAATAATCATGTTACGAACGATAAACTTTAATCCCCTCACACTTCATATAAATAACATACACATAATGTGCCCCCCTTTTCCCCATCTTCAACTTCCACCTCATGTATTGAGAATAGGCTGGTTGGTTGGTTGGTTCGTTGTTGATGGTGTGGGGTATGTGAAAGAATAAGAGAATTGAAAGTTTTTATCATATATGCTATGGAATGTCTTGTGGGAGTAATATACATGATTCAACAAATTATTCACAAGCACATACAACAGCCATCAACATCATCATGTGCGATGATGTTTATTGTGCCATGAAAAAAAAATTTGCACGGTTTTTTTGAGCTGGATGTGCTCAGGAGATGCTTTAAGAGCAGAAGTTGAGAATTTTGGCTGAATTTTGTGGAGTTTTGTTAAGTTGATGCCTTAAACTTATCTGAATCATACCAGCTTAGTTGACGGTCAGCCTACAGTTCCTTTCTCAGACAGTTGATTAATGCAAGCATATCTCTGCCCTCGCATCTCATTGAATTTGTTATTGTTGTTGTCACTTCTGAATTTTACTCAGAAGAGTAATAAAAATAACATTCATATGACATACATCCTTACCCCCAAACTCATTGCATCTCTTCGTTCTTCTCATGAACATCGATGCCATTGTCCTCGATTAAATATTTTTTTCTTACCCTTTCTTGGAAGGAAATCTGAAAAGGAGTGACTTTTTATTTTTGGGCTGATTTTTTTCTGTTTTTGTCTATTTTTATTGTATGTTTGTAGATTGTTTGAGTCGACATGGATGTGATACTATTTCCGGCTTCCTTTCGTACGAAATTCTTTTTCCTTTCACCTTCGAGCCATTGATTTGTTTTTGTAATCGAGAGTCTTGAAATTAAATGTACTCAATTGACAAAAATCTTTGAGGAATTGAAAGCTTAATTTGACCTTTTGGTTAAGTTAAATAAGTTGGAATTTAGAGATTCTATGTACAGGGACTGGCGTATTTTTAGTCATAATTGACAAATTTGAAATTCAATAGCAATGATGGCGATCTTTCATACTTCTTTACATTATGCTTCCTTGCCTCAATTACGAAGCAACAATTCTTAAGAAAGAATCTAAGAAACTCAATTGTGGCTTAAGTAGGAAAGGCTTAGGCTCAAATGCTACCACCAGAAAAATTCTAGCTTCACTTCTTAACATCAGCAAACTTTATCCAATCTTCATTCTTGTTCCATCTCTTGACATATGCTGAAATGACTTGCTAAGTACAAAACAAATTAATGAATATTATTCAAGGCAATGCACTTTTAGAGCCATGTATCCATAATTATAGACCTCCTCCATCCACATTGGATTCTCATTCCATCCGATATTCCTTCTTATTCTTAACAAATCAAAATACAATTCATAGTAAATACTAATAATCAATCAAAGACCCAAAACAAACAATGAAATCGAAACAGATTCGATAGAAAAATGACGAGTCGAAAAAAATTGTAAGAATTTTTCTGTGATAAGATACATAATAGTACACAAAAAAGAAGAAGAAAGTTCCACCCATCAATATATCGTACAGTAAGTGAGATGAACTAAGAATATATGCTGCTATATGTGTATACATAATTTTTATTATGCGAACCATGTAAAAAAAATACATAAGCATAAAATTATTTTTATTTCTCTTCTCGCTCTGCTCATATGCTTCTTACTTCTCTTCTTTCCGTATGTCTTTTTTTTTTCGGAAATTCTTTTTTTCTTTCTTGAGAAGGTCCGGGAAAAATATGGAAAAATGTTACACATTTATGTACAAAAAAAAATATGTATACATTTTATGTTGCTTATATAGTTATGCTTTCTGCCGCCTTTTTCTCTCCTCATTCTGTTTATTTCTTTTATTTTCTTGGCATTAAGCCCCGGTCTGTGTGTAAATGAGAATATAGAATAGGAATAAAAATAAAAGAACGAAAGACGAGAGAAAGTAAATAAATATAATAAATAAATGAAGTGCCTTCCTCGACATTCATGTATGGTACTTACTGAATCATAATAACTTTATTTGTATTTGAACGCTTTTGCCGAAGAACGTGACGTGAAAAAACGGTCATTTGGAATTTGAAAATGATTAGACCGATTTTTACAAAACAAAGGAATTTTTTTTAAAACTGATCAACGGTTATTCTTACAATAAAATTAGTGATTTTTCTTATACTAATAAATTTGCCAATAATTTGTAATGACTACAGTACGTGGGAAAACTACGAATATGAGAGATGACTGCTTCTCTCTTATTTTCTGATAGCAAATAATGGTTTCCATGTTTTCCACGTCTATCTGAAGTGTCTTCTTTTTTAAACTTATCCAAAGTTAGCCTAATGACATTCTTAGAAATTTCCAAAATTGAAGTGTAAAATAAAACACATACCGACTTTCCAAGAAGAAAATATTTTTTTCGTTGAGGATCTGATGAGTCAACTGATGCTACTATAAATGCCACTCTTGCCTGATAATCAAAACTCCTGTAATTTTGCTTGATTTGCTGAATTTTTTGTTCGGTGAATTTATTTTTACAATTATTTTTGCAGCATGTCTTCTGATTCTTAAGATTACATCCTTGAGTGTTCAGTTCACTTGTCTGTTGTTTTTCTCTAACCATTTTGAATTAAAGTACAATAAACTTAATAAAAAAATAATAAAATTTAATTTTACGTGTGTAAACAAAAAAAAAATTTCTTTGTTTTGTAAAAATCGGTCAAATCATTTTCAAATTCCAAATGACCGTTTTTTCACGTCACGTTCTTCGGCAAAAGCGTTCATTTTTTATTTTGGGAAAATTATTCTTTTGTGTTGTTTTGGTGGAGACTTTTTGGAAGGGAAGATGTGAGGTCAGTATTAGACATGAATAACTTTTACTAGTGCTAATGATTAGAGCAGCGACTTGGCAGCAAAATATTGAAGATTTCTGATAGATTTTCTATGCTTTTATCTAGGCTCGGATACTGAGTGGTATTTTAACGGCGGTATTTCATATTAAGAGGTGGTATTTGGGGGTATTTGGCGGTAGTTTTCGGGCTTTTAAAGGGTGTTGAAGATTCAACCATTAATAGGTTAGTCGATCTATTTTGCAGATAACCTCTGAATTGAATTGACAATTGCCTTGCATCATACTTATGGAACCCCGGGGTCTTTGTGTATTTGTTCTTAAGTTCTCGTTGCCCAGCTATTCTTCATTTATAACTGCGTAAAATCTTAAATGTAAGATTTTGAAGTGAAGTTGAGCTGATTGGTTAATATCTCTTTAATTCTCAAACTACAAGAAATATCAACTTTAGATCTAGATCTTTTTTGGATCATGATGAGTAGTTCAGAAAGTAACGAACACATGGTAGAGCTGTGGATCATTAAATTGACTAGATATGGCAATCATTAGAATTTCCTTTAATAAATGCGTTCCAGTCAACTTCTTTCAAGTCTTATGTTAAGCGTTTGACCAACTGCAAGACAAATTTTTGGGACAATGTGCCCACTTGCGTCCTAGCCAAGGAAGTAAGTAAGACAAATTTAAGAAAAACAAAAAGCTTCAAAATTCAGAATAGAGTCAACCTCAACTTTATGCTAATCAAAAACAAAATTCATTTCTTTTTCTGTAAACAAACATGAAGGTCAAATAATGATCATAAAATTCCAACCTTTTCCATTCATATCTGTGTATATAAATTTTTTTTCCTCTTTTTTCTCACACCCCTAATTTTAACACACCGAAATTTTTTTTTCTCGTCTCGCGAATTTGTTTAGGAATTTTTTTCTTTCTTCCTAGAAATTCAAAAAAAAATACTACAGCCATTGAAAAAAGGAGCGAGAAAAAAAATATTTAAGAAGATTTTCCGCATTACTTCAATACTGAATGACGATGATGTCGGCGGATGGGAAAATAAAGAAGAAGAAAAAAGGGTAACACCGGTCAAAAGACGCGTCGCTTCACCCCTTTCATTTTTTTTATATATACATTACGGATGCTGTCTTGACGTTAATTAGGTCAAAATCGTAAATCAAAAAAAAAAGAGCGAGAAGACTTGTGGATGGATGAATGATAACAGCAAAAAAAAGGAGATTGAGAGGGTAGTACTGTCGCGGTCGGTCCGTACACCCGCATAAGACAACTTTACTCTTCGTAGTATTTTTTTTTGGCTTTTTTTTTCTTTTGCGTGTGTGCGGGGGTTGGGATAGGCTGATGAAATAAAAATAAAAAAAAGGAAAAAGAAAGGCG